CTTGCTGCTGTGGTATTTGCCTTGAAGATTTGGAGGCACTATCTTTATGGTTCTTCTTTTGAGGTCTTCAGTGATCATAAAAGTTTAAAATATTTGTTTGATCAAAAGGAGCTCAACATGAGACAGCGCAGATGGATTGAGTTTTTGAAGGATTATGACTTTGAGTTGAAGTATCATCCAGGGAAAGCTAACGTAGTCGCCGACGCTCTGAGCAGGAAGCTTGTACATACTGCTCACATGATGGTCAGAGAACATGAATTATGGAGTAGTTTTCATGCAGTAAATGTAGAAGTAGTCGAAAATCGTTTGGCTGCTCTACATATTACTGAATTTGAGAATAATTTTTGGGAAGAAATTAGAATTGCGCAACAGAAGGATGATTATTTGAATAAGATTAGGGTAGAGATTGGGGCTGGAAAGGCTGAACATTTTGATGTGACCGATGATGATGTCGTAAGATATAAAGGTAGAGTGTGTGTGCCTAATGATACTCGATTGAAAAATATCCTACTTGAGGAGGCTCATCAGAGTAAATATACCATTCACCCAGGAGCAACTAAGATGTATCATGACTTAAGACGTGGTTGGTGGTGGCCAAGGATGAAGAGAGATGTAACTGAACATGTAACTCGTTGTTTGACTTGTCAGAAAGTCAAAATTGAGCATCAGAAACCAGCCGGGATGCTACAGTCTCTTGATATTCCAGAGTGGAAATGGGACAGCATTTCTATGGACTTCATTACAGGATTGCCTAGAACATCTTCTGGTCATGACACTATATGGGTAATCGTAGATCGACTCACCAAATCAGCTCATTTTCTGGCTACTAATATCAAGTATTCTCTCGAAAAATTAACTGAAATCTACATAAGAGAAGTGGTGAGATTGCATGGAGTGCCGACAAATATTGTATCTGATCGTGATCCGAGATTCACATCAAACTTTTGGAAGTCATTACAGGAAGCCATGGGTACTCGTCTGAGTTTTAGCACAGCTTACCACCCCCAGACCGATGGGCAAACGGAACGAACCATACAAACTCTTGAAGACATGTTAAGAGCTTGTGCCATTGAGCTTAGAGGTAATTGGGATAGTCACTTGCCATTAGCTGAATTTGCCTACAATAATAGTTTTCATTCTAGCATTCAGATGGCACCTTATGAGGCATTGTATGGAAGAAAATGTAGATCGCCACTGTGTTGGACAGAATTAAGTGAGAGAACTGTTTTGGGGCCAGACATTGTTGATGAGACTACCCAAAAGATTGCTTTAATCAAGCAAAAATTACTCACAGCTCAAAGTAGACAAAAGAGTTATGCGGATAAGAGGAGAAGACCGCTTGAGTTTGAAGTAGGTGACCATGTATTTTTGAAAATCTCTCCGATAACTGGTGTTGGAAGAGCTATTAAGGCTAAGAAGTTGACACCAAGGTTTATGGGGCCTTTTGAGATCTTAAAACGAGTTGGACCAGTAGCGTACCAAGTAGCATTACCACCCCAAATTGCTGGAATACACAACGTATTCCATGTGTCACAACTGAAAAAGTATCAACCAGATCCTTCCCATATAATTGAACCCGAGGAAATTGAACTCAGGGAGAATTTAACATTCAAAGCTGAACCAGAAAGGATTGTGGATTATAAGGACAAGCAATTAAGAAACAAGACCATTAGATTGGTTAAAGTAATCTGGAAGAGCACAACTCCAGGTGATGCTACGTGGGAGACCGAGGACAGTATGCGACGTGATTATCCTCGTCTTTTTGATTAAGTGAGTAGTTAATAGTTATTAATTTTAAATTTTGAGGACAAAATTTCTAAAAGGAGGGGAGAATTGTAACATCCCAATTTAAATTTTAATAGTTAATTTAGGTTAATAGAAATTTTTTTAAAAAAAAAAATAATATTTAGAGGTAAGAAAATTAGTAGAAAATGATTATTAAATCTAATTTAGGATATAATTCTAAATTTTAAAAAAAAAATTTAAAAAAAAAATAATAAATTTATTAAAAAAAAATTAATTAAAAAAATTAATTATTAAATTATTATTATAATAAAAAAATGGAAAAAGGTATGCCAAAACAAAAAAAAAAAAAAGAAGAAGAAGAGAAAACGAATTTGCTTTCGGCGCCGCATGAATAGTAAGTATAAAATAATAATAAAAAAAAAGGGGGGAAGAGAGAGAAGAAGAAATAATAATAAAAAAAATGTGTGGGACCCACTGAATTTTTATAAAAACTCACCTTCCTTCATTTCCTCATTCATTCTTTGCGCGAGCTGAGGCGGAGAGAAGCGAGTTGCCGGTGCGAAATATCTAAATTTTTAAGGTAAGAGTTTTTAATAGGATATTTAGGGTGTGATTTTAAGCTTTTCAAGACTAAGTAAGTGTTCTAAAAATTTTTCTTAGTCATCCTTCTTATTTAGTTTCTGAGTTTGTAGTGGTAGAAAATTTAAGATCTGGAAGAGGGATGAATTTATGTTGAATAAATATATTTTTGAGGTTGTCAGTAGTATAATAAATGTTCTAGAGTATAAATTTATTGATGATCTTTGAATCTGTGGCTTATGGATCAAATTCTAAACTAGATCTGAAAATATATGTTGATTTATTGAGGTTTAGATGATTATTTGGGATGAGAAATGAATTATTATGGTTATAGGATTATGATTCTAAGCTAGAGACTCAATTTTTAATTTTTGGGTATTTTAGGTACGAATTTATAAAATAAAAAAAAAATTTTGATAATAGAAATTAGTTTAAAATTTGATTTTTAGATTATTAATGTTTATTGATAATTAAAAGAGGAGTTAAAAATTTTACTTAATAGTATTAACTATAGATTTGTATTAAGATTGAGATTAGGAATTATGTTATATTTTTAATTCTATTATTAGAATTATTTTATTAGTTTCAAAAATTGAAACTAATATTTATAAATAATATGTTATTTGTAGATTGTATTACTGGTGAAGATTGTGGAGAGAGAGAAATTTTAAGGAATAATTTATTGAAAAAGCCACAAGGTAACCATGCTTTTAATTTATGATTAGTGTTACTTCTTGTTAATTGGGTGATTATTGAGAAAATTATGAATTTTGTAATATTGTATAATTGTGCAATATTATTATGAATTTGTTTAATTATTGTGGGAGGTGTTGGGAGACTTGCTATTATTGTTGTATTTATGTGCCACGTGGTACGCCCCTATTGGAGCTCAATAGGTGGCTTGTAAGGGCTCGGGCTAATCTACCTTTGGCCGGGTAATTTAGCACCGAGTGAGGGCTACGGCTCGAGGTTAATGGAGGGATATAAGGATGGTTGTTTGTGTTTATTATAATATTTCTTATATTTGTTGGAATTATATTATTTTTAATTCTCACTTAGTAAGCACACACTTAACTGTTTGTATACACTATCATAAATTGGCTTTGGTTACTGGGACTTTTGAGTCTCATTATGTGGTTAACAATTTTCAGGAGAAGAGCCACGAGTGACACGTAGAGGAGTCCCAGAGGCTTAGTGGTATAGATCCACTGTCTCTTTTGGGTATTTAATTTATGATTTATAATGTGTTATATTGCCAATATTAGGACTTTTTTATGTTTATTGTCAATTATATGAATATATAAATGTAATCATGCCTTTCAAACTATTTCTATTTTTGGTACAATTTGGATGACTGTAATTTTAATATTTGGTTTACTTTGGATTGGTTAAAATGGCATGATTATAAGGTCAAATAACTGGCTTGTGTTGAAAATTGATTAAATTGCTTATTTTACTTGTTGGGAGTATAAGGATGGACAAATGTGATTTAGTTTACTTGTTGGGAGTATAAGGATGGACAAATGTGATTTAGCCTAATGGCATGTGGGAGGTAAAAATTTATCTAAAATGTTATAGTGTGTGAGTTGAAGCCAATTATAAAATATTTTATATCGAAATTATTGATATAAAAATGTGTTGGGTGGCTGTAACCCAACTATGGTTGAGTTAAATTATTTAAAAAAAAAAATTTGGTGTGTTACAGTGTGAGTATCATAAGTGTACGTGTGACTCTTTTCTATGAGAAAAGAAAAGGGCTATGGCATTGCCTGGAAGGGTAGATTAGATAAGGAAAAATGTATGGGTTTATATTTGATCAATTTAAAAGAAAATAAAATGAAATTTTTTAAGTGAATTTCTCAACACCTTAGATAATATCACATAATTTTTTAGGGTTAATATATAATTTAAATTCTGTATTATAGGTTCAAGATGATTTGAATTATAAATTTTTGAAAGATATATTTTAAATCTTATACAATTAAAATTGAGATAATTTCATCTTTACAATTAAATTTCAACAAACATCTGTTATTTTTTTAAAAAATTGGGGCCTGATGTTTGATTTTTATCAAATTTTACTCTCTCTATTTTACTCTCATTTAATGAAAATTACACATTAAATCTTATTACAATGAAAGTTTATTTAAATTTAACAGTGAAGTAAAAATTATCTCAATTTTAATTATTTAGAATTTAAGTTGTATCTTTTAAAAGTTTAGAATTTAAATTACCCTTGAATCTATAGTTCATGATTTAAATTACAAATTAATCTAATTTTTTAATCCCTCCCATAAAAAACGTTAAGTTATTTTATTAATGAAAATTGGTTGCTGTAAAAGAAATTGTAAACATTCAAACACAAGATTAAGTTAACAGTAGAATTGTTAGTAGCATACAATGTCATATATCATATAACTATATAAAAAGGTAATATTGTAAGAAATATATTGAGAGATTTTAATTTAAAAATGTTAGAAATCATAATTAATTTTTTTTAAAATATAATTTATTCCTTATTAAAGTTTAGCAGATAATTATTTTAAATTTATATAATGTAGTAATTTAATTTTGATCACTAAAAAGTAATTATATTTGTAAAAAAAAAAAATCAGACAATGTAAAATAAATATACAATGTTGGCCAAAATTTCTAAGGCGTTAAACAGGCTAACAGATCATGAAAAGAGGATCCCATTCTTTGAACGGCAGGTGAGCCTTCGCCGCGCGCTCTCTCTGGAGACGGAGTCGCATTTCATACTCATCGCCGTGGGTTCCTCTTCGCCGCCATGGCGGCACCGAAGCCACGCAACACTCGATCAACTTCTCTTAGGGATGCCTCTGACTCCTCCAAGATGGAGGGCACCGGTACATGGGATGCCCTCCAATGGACCAAGTTTCAGGTTTCCCCCTATTTGTTTTTTCCAATTCACGTCTTTCCTTTTCTTCTCTACATTCCGGATTTATTTGTTTTCATTCTTCTCTGTTTTCGTGTGAATTTATCTGCAGCCCGGTTCACGATACGTTTCGCATGGCAATTTGGATTTCTTGTTTGAGGAAGAAAACGTCATAGCCCAGGTATGAACTGCTTTTTACTCTTTACGCGGCAATTATATCACCTTTTTTTCCTTTTTCTGTACGCTCTCTGTTTGTTGCATTACTTTCTTTGCTCTGTGTAGCACGATCACCGGGCAGATTCTGCAAAATATTTGGAATTTAACGGTAGTGCAAAGAATGGTGAGCGTGATTTTGACCTCTCGTGTGGCGTTTTTGGGGTTGCATAGAGTAAACATATATAGCCTCATGTCACCTGGCACTCAGCGTAAATGCTGAATTTGACATGTGCACCCTGTAATAACACGTTGATTGGGTAATTTGTCTTTTAAATAATAGCTGATTGAGTGTCCCCAATTTCCGTCTTGTAACTAACGACTTGCTTCAGTTCATTATTGTGAGCCTTGACAGAATACGGTAATCTGGATATTGGTTTTAATTTACTCCCCACCCCCTTATACGGCTGCTGTCTTAAGTGCAATGACTTGTCTGTTAATACATTAAAACGTCCAAAGAAAATTGGGCAACTTAGTAGATAATAATCCTTAATTAGAGTCGGTTCAATGAATCTGTCACGTAATGTTACAGTGGGTAAATTGTTCCAGATACCATATTATAAATCACTAACTCAATAGCATGATTGAATTACCCAAAAGAACCTTATTTCTTGGATACATAACGAGTCAAATTTGAAGTGACAAAACTTCGTGATCCATGACGACACAGGGAAAAGAAAATGGAAAAATAAATCCAGTCTGAAGAGCATGACAAAGAAGTCAGAAGTTATTAGCGAGTGGATAAAAAATTTTAAGCACTTTACTCTAGAGAAAGCTTATCTCGCAAGAATTTGGATGAAGATATACCCAAGAAACAAATCCTTAGGGAACATCCCCTCTAATGTTTATCTACAATCTACATTTTATCAATATTTTTATAAATTTTATAAATGGCTGGTCATTCAAATGGTGAAAGTTCTGATTCTAGTCCTACTGTTTTAATTTACATTTATTCTAAGTAAATTTATTGTATTTATCTGCACATGATGTTTGTGTTTAGGGACATGGTGTTGTTCTTATTAATTCAGATGATGCTGGCACGTTGATGGTCACAAATTTTCGTCTTATTTTTCTGGTAAGTCCTTTAAATAAGTTTAAAGGAAAGTTTTATCTTTCTGCCCTAAGAGCAACTATATTATATGGTAGTTAATATTAGACTTTAAAAGATTAACAAGAATATAAAGTTAGGGTGGTATAGATGAGAATGGTGGGATAGATGTGTGGGCATACAAGAAAAGATAAGATTTGTAAGGATCATATGCAAGAAAGAGTTGGTATGGAATCTATTAAGGAGAAAATGGTAGAAAATTGTTTTTGATAGTTTGAACATGTACAAAGGAGGTTGTTGGAGGCATTGGCAAGGAGGGTGAAACAAACAATTTTAAGTTTTGTGAAGAGGGGTAAAGGTAGGCCAAAGAGAACACTCAATGAAGTTATTAAAAGAGATCTTTTGGTTAATAATATATCCAAAGATTTATTAATAAAGCATAATGGTGTCATTAAATCCATGTAGCCAACCTTACTTAGTGTGATAAGATTGTTTGTTGTTGTGGTCGTCGTGGTCGTCCTTCACATTATATTTCATCATCTGAAAATTAGATTTTGATTAGGCATTATGATTTAGGAGAGGACATAGAGTTGTGATTTAGAATTACCCATGCACTCGTAAGGTGATAAACATAATAGTGTTTGTCTAAAATTCTCGGTAAGTTATTTTGGGAGAATGAAAAGCTTTAGAGACCAAGAATAAATTTGAAAACTGGACTATTTCCTTTTTTCCCCCTTAAAAAAGAAGAAAAGAAGCTGCAATGAAGGCTGAATTCACAACACCCATGAAGAAATGCTGATGCCAGAGGTGTATTATTCAAGAGAAAGGAGCATACACTTGTAGGAAAACATAAAACCTAGATAATCTTTTAGGATCTGGCTGAGATATGTGAGGCGTATCAGATCAGGAAATAAATCAATCTAAATCCCTAAATATCAGCAACAAATAGTGAAAAATAATCACTAAATGACTAGGTAAGATAATGTAATAAAACCCTAATTAAAAGTAAAGCCTTTAGGCCCTATGGGCCTTGTACGGTGTTACCACTCCCTCTCAAGTTGGTGAATAGATATCTATTATTCCCACCTTGCCTTGAAATTCTTCAAAGTTCTTGCTAGCGGCTTGGTGAAGAAGTCTATTATCTGTAAATGTGCTGGTGTATATGCTAGATTAATGATCCCTATGTCCATCTTCTCTTTGATAAAATGCTTGTCAAGTTCAACATGCTTAGTCCTCTCAACGTGTACTGGATTCTCCGCCATTCCAATGGCAAACTTACTATCACACCTTAATTTAATAGGTGAGTTAGCTTCTAGTTTCAACTCCTTTAGAAGTCTGAGCAACCACATCCCTTCACATACTCCATGAGCCAAGGCTCGTAGTTTAGATTCAGCACTACCTCTAGATACAACAAATTGCTTCTTGCTTCTCCAAGTCAGTAGATTTCCCCATACAATGGTACAATAACTTGAGATGGACCTTCTATCAAGGCGAGAACCCCCACAATCAGCATTTGTATACACTTCAATTCCTCTAGAATTGCCTTTAGCAAAATAAATTCCTCTCCTAGGAGTCATCTTGAGATATTTTAAAGTTCTATTCACAGCTTGCATATACTTCTCCTGTGGATCATTAGTGAATCTACTCACCATCACAACAACGAAGCTAATGTCTGGGCGAGTGTGAGAGAGATATATGAGCTTACCTGCTAGTCTTTTGTACCTTCCAGCATCAACTGGGACTAAGTCTTCTTTGTTATTAGGGGTTGATTCTTCCTCTTCATTGTCATCTCTCTTGATGTCAAGTTTGCATGAGGATTCCATAAGTGTCTTGGCTGGCTTAGCTCCCAACATTCCTGCTTCTTTCAACAAGTCAAGAGTATACTTCCTTTGTGACATCATAATGCCTTGGTTGGATCTAGCTACTTCCATTCCAAGATAGTATCAAAGGCCTCCGAAGTCTTTAACTTCAAACTCAGTTTCAAGTGACTTCTTTAGTCTTTGTATTTCTACTAGATCATCACCAATCAGCACAATATCATCAACATAGGCTATAAGTATTGCCTTTTTTCTTGAGTGTCTCACAAATAGCGTGTGATCTGTTTGGCATTGAACATATCCCAAGTTTTTAACTACTTACATGAGCCTATCAAACCACATTCTCGGTGAGATATATGGATTTATATAGTTTGCAAATCATACCTGGCTTCTTATGTTTGGATAGTCCTTCAAGAACTTCCATGTACACTTCCTTCTTCAAGTCACCATTGAGGAATGCATTCTTTACATCTAGTTGATGTAGGGGCTAGTCACAACTTGCAACCATGGACAAGAGCACTTGGATGATGTTTAATTTTGCTACAAGGGCAAATGTTTCTTGGTAATCAATACCATATATTTGTGAGTAACCTCTTGCAACAAGTCGAGCTTTATACTCATTAAGAGTTCTGTCCAGATTATATTTCTTAGTGAACACCTACTTGCACCCTACGATCTTCTTTCCCTTCAGGTAACTTGGTAATTTGCTAGGTCTTATTTGTTACTAGAGCTGCTAACTCATCATGAATAGCCTCCCTCCAACTCGGATAAGAAATTGGCTCTTGATAGCTAGGGTGTAATTTTTCTTCTGCAAGTCTTGCAACAAAACTTTGCATACATGGTGATAGTCTATCATAAGAGACAAAATTACTAACAGGTGCATAGTGCATTTTCTTGCCCCCTTTCTTAGTGCAATTGGCCACCCAAGGTCATCCAGAGTTGAAGTTGAGGTTGAATCATGATGCTGCTGATAGTTAGAGGGACACACCAGTCTCAAATTGTCTTCCATTACTTTCGTTTCATCAGTTTCTGCAGTACCATGATCAGTTACGTCCTGTGTATTGTTGTTGGGCACTATTTCAGGACTGGCAGGTGCTGTTTCAGACTGTCCAGAAGTATTTCAGGTACCAGTGTTTCAAAGATGGGTTCAGCTGTAGGGTGAAGAGGCAGAAGGTCCAGGATAGGGTCAGATTGACGTGGAGAGGCTGTCACGGGAAATTTAGGGCTGTTTGGTTGCTGATCATTGTCCCATTCATGAGCACTCTCCCCCTAAATGGAAGGACGAGAATAAAAGGCCTGAGTTTCTACACAATTAACATTAAGAGTGGGAAAAAAAATTTTAAGGGATGGAGAATAACATTTATATCCCTTTTGTGTGGAGGAGTAGCCCAAGAAAATGCATTTGAAGGCTCTAGGGTGAAGTTTGCCATCATTGCCATTGTGTACATAAGCGAGACAGCCAAAAACATGTTTAGGTAAGTGATTTTTCAAGTGTGGTGGGGTAATTCTTAGAGAGAAGTTGGAGAGGTGTTTGAAATTGTAGGCTTTTTTAGGGCAATGTGTTGATTAAATGTGCAGCTGTGAGGATTGCTTTTCCCCAATAATATTTAGGAATTTTATGGGTTAATGTGAGCATTGGTTACCTCTAAGAGGTGCTGGTTTTTCCTTTATGCTGTGCCATTTTGTTGAGGTGTGTTAATTGTAACACTTGCCCCGAGTGTTATCCAAAAATCACACAATTCAAATATACTAAGTGTGGTTAAGGAATTAATTCTAAAACCAACTTAGGAAACAAACCATTTAAATCACTAAACAAATACACAATTGCAAATTAAATATTTAAAGACTTTAAAAAATTTTATAGGTTCTACCTATAGCGCACGGAAGCAAGTTAGACGAAAGAAGGGTAAAAATATGCTGTCATGACAGCAGCCCTCCCGAGTCAACTTCAGGGAGGCACCGTTCTGTCTTCCGATCTCCGATCGAAGAAATTTTAAAGCTCACACGTCACATTCAAAGGGTACTATAAGTGTACCAAATTTCAAAAAGATTCAACGGTCGAATTAAAAATTGGACATGTTATAAATTTGGTCACTTTTGCTGTCATGAAAAAGCTGTCATGACAGCACTTCCAGACCAACTTCCGGAGTGCACCATTTCATCATCCGACCTCCGATCGGAGTGATTCTAAAGCCCACATGTCACTTTTTAAGAATACTATTAACATATCAAATTTTGAAAAGATCCAACGGACGGATTGAATTTTGTGCAGGTTATAATATTACTACTGTAGCTCTCATGACAGCACCTCCAGACCAAATTCCGGAGTGCGCCGTTTCTTTATCCGATATCCGATCGACATGATTCCAAATCCCACACGAAGCTTATAAAAGGTTTTACTTGTGACCCAAATTTTAGAGAAATCTAACGGTCGGATTAAGATTTGGACACTCGGATGCAAAAGTGCAGCTTTTTGGTAAAAACCATTTTCAAAATTGTCCAAATCTCATCTTAATGGTCACAAAACTGTAGGAACACTTTGGACACGTCAAATAAGACTAAAAACACCTGATAGAACATTCAAATGATGGAAAACTCTCATACATTAAAATTTGACCACCCGGGTGCCATTTCTCAAAATGGACCCTATCACCAAAATGCACAAATCATACAAGAGTGGTCACAAATCAATCCAAATACCATGTATTTATATAAATACATATGCTAAATATTTTCACTTGGCTCAGAGCTCCTTGTGGGGCCCACGCACCTACTCTCTCTATCCAAGGTGTATGCTTGCCCATAGCACACCATTCGCAATGCAACCACTTTGCATTTGCTTATAGAATCACATATATATATATATATCAAAATAAATATCTACTTGTAATAGAAACTTGGTCTACTAAGTAAATCCATCAAAATCACACACCATAATCAAGTTTCCTAGCCACAAGTCTACAAACAGACAAAAATTCATACACAAGCACACAATCCACACATATTCACTCACACATACATAATCATATCCTACTGGCACCCTCATCCTAAATACATTATAATATATTTGCTCAAAAGAAAGGGGTTGCAGTTCTTTACAAATCACAAGCAAACCCCTAGCTTTGCTCCTTCCCCCGTCCACCACTGGATCCTTCGTCTAGACCTAGAATATTGAAAAGAAAGGGGTGAGACAACCACAGTCTCAGTAAC